AGGATCGCTTGAGCCCAGGAGTTTGAGGTTGCCGTGAGGTAGGCTGACGCCACGGCACTCTAGCCCGGGCAACACAGCGAGACTTTGTCTCAAAAAGAAAAAAAAAAAAATACCCCATCATTCAACTTTAGCATGTTGCAAAACTGATGATGCCATGTTGCATTTGCTCGAATATAGTTAACAATGCTTATAACTTATTGCAAAGTGTCACTTAAAATAGTAGCTTTAGTGCAGAGATTTTGCTGATGTAAGATACATTGAAAAGAAATGAGAGCATCTGGATCTGTTACTATTTTTTTTATCTGTGCAATAAACCCTTCATGTTTTCCTGTCATGAAAGGTGCACTGTCTGTACATACACTCACTAAATTTACCAAAGTCAGTCCTACTTCACAGCATTTATCTTGAAAGTTGTTGAAGATGTCTATTCCCTGTATTCTGTCCGCAAAAGTGCCTGAAGCGAGTAACTCTCCCTAGCAAAGAAAATCTTCTGTCATGACCCAAATGAAGTATAAAACCTGTGCCAAGTCAGTAGTATCAGTTGATTTATCCAAAACGATTAGTACCTATTTCCCTTTTGAAGTATTACATGAAGTTGTTCTGTTAAGTTAAAGGCTAATTCATGCTGCCAATCATTTATAGTTCTTGAAAGAGGTAGTTGTACTTTGAACTGTTATTGGGGTCTAAGCATCCTGCAACTTCTACAGTGCATCCTTTCACAATTTCTGCATCACTGAGTGGCTTCCCTTTTTTCCCAAGCATATAAGTTACTTTATAAGTTGCTTCAGTGGCATTATTTCCAGGTCTTATTGCTGCTTGCAAGAATTGTCTTAGCTTTTGCTTTTCGTCTTTCAATTTCTGCAGTACAACCTTTTGCCACCTCTCCCTCTAATTTAAAATATTTGTGGTCCTTATGAGTGTTAAAATGCTGATGAGCATTGAATTTCTTTAATGTTGATATTGCAGTGTCACAAAGCAAGCAAATCATCTTATCTTTAGCAGAAACAAGATAATATTGCAATTCCCAATCCTCATTAAAAAATCTGCTTTCTTCCTTCAGCGTTCTCTTGGTCTTCTTTGACATGATGGGCTGTTAAGCAGATAGAATTAAAAAATACCATTGAGCTGTGCAACTAATCACAAATTCCACTTTAAGTCATTTTGTTTTGTCTTCAAACAGAAACACAGTGCACCATTGTCAAAAGACAATAACCGACTGGCGTACTCAACCCCCATAAACTCTTGCCAACCAGCCTCATGTGGTAGTGGCGCCAGTCAGGTAGGGGAAGTTAGAACTAAATTGTGAGCATAGCAGCCATCAATTTAGCCCTTATGGCTTACTAATGTAATTGTGTCAGTCAATCTGGGAGGATTATTTTGTTGAAACTTATTTTATTCTTTGGTATTTTAAATACATTCACTTTAAAAATAAA